TAATAAATATTATTTTCAAAATTATGTTAAAAAAAAGTACTACAAATCACAATAGCTAACAATTTAAAATATTTTAAAAATCATATAAAATTTTCAATAACCTCTCAAATTCCATAATATGACATAAATTTAAAAAAATAAAATAAAATAAAATATTATATATATATTTAATATATTAAAGGATGAGAAATTTTTCATTTACTATTAATATTATCTTTATCATAGTAACTATATAAAATATTAGTACTCAATTTAGTTTTTTAAAACATAATTAATAAGGATAATTTAATATTTTATTCGTCTCAAATTATTTATTGTGAAACATCAATTAGAAGATTATTTTGTTTATTGTTATTTATGTCTTAAGATGTAATCTTTGTTTGCTGAATTTCTAATGTATAATTGAGGTGTTTAGCTTTGGTTTAAATATTGTCATCGGATATAATTTGCATACAACTTGAACTTGTGTAAACAACTGTTTATGCTATTAAATCATTTAAAAAATAATTACAATTAATTCATATAAGTAAGATTAGTAATGACTCCTGTAAGATAATATATAAGGTAGGGTGAAATTTATTTACACCACAAACTTTGATTTAAAAATTTAATATTCTCCTCAACTTGAAAAATAATTACTCTCCCCCTTTTTTATGCAAAATCTTTTCTACCCTCGTTATTTTTAATTTTTATATATATATAAATTAATATATTAAATTCAAAAAAAATTTTAAAAAAAATAAACATTGTGGATTAACAATATAAATTAATCAATTATATAAGTAATAAGTTCAACAAATACGAATTTAATTAAAATCCATTTTTTTTGTTGAATTAGTTCATTAATTTCAATTACAAATGATGAAACCACTTTGCTAAGCCTAAATTATCATCTTATTTTAGATGACCAATTCAGTGCTACATGTCAAATGGGCGTGTCATGCCAAGTTAAATGAAGAAGACAACAAAATCATGTCACATGTCAAAATAATATAGCATGCGTAGTCAAATCAAACTAATAGAAATACACCGCGTGTACAAGTAATGTGTTCCAACCAATCAAATACGATTATGTCACTTTCAGTCTGATTGGCCGAAAAGAGTTTATAAGTTGGTTTCAACACCACCATTAAAAAAAAGAACCTTATAGTAAGAAAAAGAAAGGCCAAACACATATACAACCCCTCTAACTTGCCCTCATTTTTCATTTTAGCACTCCAACTTAGTCTTGTTCCATTTTAACCCTTAAACTCCATTTTTTATGTACCTTTTTAACACGAAATACTATTTTTATGATTTCTTTATTTTTATATCGGAAAAGGGCCAAAAATACCCCTGTACTATTCGAAAAGGTTTAAAAATACCCCTCATCCACCTATTGGGTTAAAAATACCCCTCAGTTAATCTTTTTGGTCCAATATTACCCTTTAAACTAACAGTCCTCTATTTTTTAATTAATATATTTAATAATTATTACATGACGTCTTTCTATTGGATAAAGTTAATTTTCAATCCACCAAACTTTCTCCTACCCACTTGACCCATATTGACATTCCTTGACCCAAACCCAATTAAAAGATCCATCTAAAATTTAAAAAAAAATTGAATCTCTTCTCCCCTGAACCTAATTTCTATGTGGCAACTTTTCCTTTATCTCTTAATTCTTCATCGTAAGCTTCTCTTTTCTTGATTCTATGGTTTATCGATTAGGTTTGTCAATGTGGTTGTTTAAAGATTTAATCTTTTTTGTTTCATGAACATACATTCCGTTGTTGGTGTTTGTTAATCTGTGAAATTCATGTTAATTGGTTTAGAAGGAGAAGAGATGATATCTTTTTTATTTGTGATGGATTTTTTAATTGGGTTTGGGTCAAGAAATGTCAATATGGGTCAGGTGGGTAGGAGAAAATTTGGTAGATTGGAATTTAACTTTATCCAATAGAAAGACACCACGTAATAATTATTAAATATAATAATTAAAAAATATAAGGTTGTTACATCCACCTATTGGGTTAAAAATACCCCTCAGTTAATCTTTTTGGTCCAATATTACCCTTTAAACTAACAGTCCTCTATTTTTTAATTAATATATTTAATAATTATTACATGACGTCTTTCTATTGGATAAAGTTAATTTTCAATCCACCAAACTTTCTCCTACCCACTTGACCCATATTGACATTCCTTGACCCAAACCCAATTAAAAGATCCATCTAAAATAAAATAAAATAGAATCTCCTCCCCTGAACCTAATTTCTATGTGGCAACTTTTCCTTTATCTCTTAATTCTTCATCATAAGCTTCTCTTTTCTTGATTCTATGGTTTATCGATTAGGTTTGTCAATGTGGTTGTTTAAAGATTTAATCTTTTTTGTTTCATGAACATACATTTCGTTGTTGGTGTTTGTTAATCTGATGAAATTCATGTTAATTGTTTGTTATCGATGAATTTATTTACATGGGTCATCGTTAATTTCTGCTCTAAATAAGCTTAAATCTGAGCATCTTCTTTGTCGCCGAAACCCAAAAACTTGACTGAATCCTTCATCGTGAGCTGCTGTTTAACTGATTCTGTAGTTTATGGATTTAGATTGTTAATGTGATTTTTCAAAATTTAATCTTTTTTGTTTCATGAACATACATTCCGTTGTTGGTGTTTGTTAATCTGTGAAATTCATGTTAATTGGTTTAGAAGGAGAAGAGATGATATCTTTTTATTTGTGATGGATTTTTTAATTGGGTTTGGGTCAAGAAATGTCAATATGGGTCAGGTGGGTAGGAGAAAATTTGGTAGATTGGAATTTAACTTTATCCAATAGAAAGACACCACGTAATAATTATTAAATATAATAATTAAAAAATATAAGGTTGTTAGTTTAAAGGGTAATATTGGATCAAAAATGTTGACTGAGGGGTATTTTTAACCCAATAGGTGGATAAGGGGTATTTTTAAACCTTTTCGAATAGTATAGGGGTATTTTTGGCCCTTTTCCGTTTTTATATATATTCTTCAATTGCAACTTCTTATTTTAAATCGACATGTGTCAGTTAATTTTAGTTATAAAAAAAAAAATTAACAAAAAATAATTTGTTTTAAAAAATAATAATTTCTTTTTAAGAGTTTTATGTATTTTTATGTGAAAAATAACCGACAAAATTGTGTTGGTTTTCTTTCTTAAAAATCACCAACAATCCAACAAATTAAAGTCAATCGAGTTTTAACAGTTTTTAGTAGTGTTATTAGCAATGAACAAGAGTCTTTTTTACTCGTATTGAAGATGAATTTTTTTATTCTTATTGATTTATATTAAAAATAAAAGGTGAGTATTTGCGTTAAATTTAGTTAGCCTAGATGATAAGAAATAATAAATAACTAGTGTTATTTAATTTAATTGAATGTTTAAGAAAGAAAATCAAAGAACTTTCGTCAATTTACTTTCATGCAAAAATATAGAGAAATCTCAAAAAATAATATTATTGTTTGAAAAAATTAATGTTCGTTCGCGAATGTTTAATTTTTTACGAAAATTAACAGACACAGGTCTATTTTTTTTAAATTAAAAAATTAGCAATTGAAGAACATAAATAAAAAAAAATTCATAAAAATTAGTATTAGTGTTTAAATGGTATAGAAAAAATGGAATTTAAGGGTTAAAATGAAACAAGGCTAAATTAGAGTGCCAAAATGAAAAATGAGGACAAGTTTGAGGGGTTGTGTATGTGTTTGGCCAAGTAATGACATGATCAAAATGCATCTCTTTTTACCTGTTTTGCCAATTATCAATTGATTACAGGCCATGTTGTACAGAAATTGTTCTAAGGCCACAGGAAGAGAAAACAATACAAAGAATGTAGTGTTTTTGTGGTATCAATTGCACTTGTCCTTGAAAAGCTTTGCTACAAATGCAAACCACTGAGTGAAAAGCTTTCTCCAAAAAATTAGCAACATGACTATCTCCAATTTCGTTCATACTTTGCTCCTCTTGACTAGCTAGCTGTTATTTTCCGGACTTTCTTCTAGTTCTATGTCTACGTGATCGCTTCATATCTATATCTGAAACAAAAAAGTAAAAATTGCACATCGCCGTTAGATCTTTAACCCGGAAATGAATAAGATGTATAATGGCTATGGCTCATTGTTAGAGCTGTATAGATGCTAATGAATCATCAAACAAGATTGCACTAGTAACCGACCCGTAGTGATTTTAGCACTCGAATACTCATCTGTTTCACTACATACTCCTTTTCCAGACAGCAGCAGAAGAAATGATTAAATAACAATAATGTGGCACGAAAATGAAGTCGATATGTTCTTGCTTACCGATAGATTGACTTATTTAATCGGACAAAAAAATGTGTTGTCGTATTAAGGACTAACCTGTCAATCTGCCAGCATTGTACAAAGCTTCCTCAGCAATAGGTCTCCACTGTTCAGCACATGAATGACTTATTCCCAAACCAACACTAAGCCCTCTCAGTATTTGCAGAGTTCGAAGAATAGAGAAAAGTTCTTCTGGAAAAGCCTAACATCAAATAGAATTGTGTTCACATTTTGACTTTGGTACTCATATTTACCAAGTACATTTAACAAAATTAATCAGTAAATAAGAAAGGCCGGTGATACAAGGCGTCACTCACTGTACTAAGAGACACAAAGAACTTAAGAAGGTATGAGATCCACCTTATCATTTGTGGAGTATAATGCAAGAGAACAAAACAGACCACTTTTAAGTCACAGAAGCTAAAATCCAGATTTTATGGGACCTAATTGAGCAAGATTTTCAAAAAATTTAAGAGACTGAAATTCAGAATGATCCAGAGTCATTCTCATGACGGTTGGATATAATTGCATTTGCATCTCAAGTGAAAGACTTCCAATTTCGACATGATATGGCCTTCCTCTTTTCTTCTTTATAGAGCACCACAATCATTGAAGAGACAACAATTCTAATGGAAACAATAAAAAGTTACTCAGCCTTTGCTGACCGATGTCAAAAGGTCTTTCTCTTTCATGATTCTTAGCTAAACATTTCTCCATTATCATAAAGATTATGGAATACTAGATTAGTAGCATGTCTAGTGTATGTATAGCAATCAAAGTGTAAACATGTGCAACAATGTCTTTTGAGTACTTAGTATTTGTTGTATGTTTTCCTTTGAAGCTTAATCATGGTAGCTATAAGTATTTGTCAATAGGCCATTGCTTCAACTTCTATATTTTAGTTGCCTTTCCGCAGAATTTGTTCTAGAAGCTTATAAGAATTCGTCTAGAATAATGATTTGTGTAGTTGCATTTTAAGCGCAGGTGCAAAATGTGAAAGTAGTTAGTATATTGATTTAGATGGTTGAAAGACATAGGGACTCTGTTGTTCGGACTTTTCAAAAATGTTGCTACACCCGTGTCGGATCCTCTAAAAATAGACTATTGTTGGAAGATCCAACATGCACCTGGTGCCATTTTTGAAGTGTCCAAGCAACATAGCCCAGAGACACAGATCTGTCTATTGAGGCAATAGATCAACAGTCTGCTAAGTTTATTTGAATGACCACGAACTATGTGGCCTTCTATCTCTATTGATTACAATATACTCCAACCAACACTTGAACCAAACAGCTCATTTTTTCAATTTACATGTCCTTATAACAAAATGCAAAGAATCTGTTATAACTTCCCATCAGAGGTTGTTTCACCCCACGTTATCTTTTTCTGCGGCGTTCACGCTTTTGAGCCGAAGCTCTAAATAAAGAGGAATTTCAGGTAATTATGTCAAAACATAGAGTTCAGCAATGAATATTGTCCTGCTAAGTGCTAAGATTTACTTCTCGAAATCAATTCATCCTCTCAATGCCATCCTAAGCAAGTTATTAACTTTAAATGGAAAAGAACTCCTTTTGCATTGTCCCAAAATTATGATCACCTTCAGAAAAGATAAACTCTTCTCTATACTCTCTTCACTAATTCTCTAGTTCCTTATTAACAAAGCATCAACAAAGACCCGACGACTGATACAAGTTCAAATTCTTTAGTCAGGGTTATCAAAATATAGCTGTGTCAACTCTTGTCTTCAATATCCATCACTAATCAAACTGATGGACCTTAATGTGGAAGGTAGTATCATGTGGAAAAGATCATTAGATTCTTGAATGGTAAATGCAACCCTTGCTAAAAATGATTTAACATTGGGAATTGGTAAAATACCATAAGTTGAGAGAGGAGGTACCGTGTACCTCAACTGCAATTTTTTTGACTGAAGATTCTTCTGAGAAAGGTTGCAGCATCTTTACACCAGGTGGTAATTTTGTGTCAAACATCCCTCGTGCCAATTTAAGCATTTCTTTCTGCTCATCCTCACATTTGCTTAGGGTGTCTATGCCAAGCTCCCTTTAATTCAAAGTGAGAAGTTCAAAGACTGGAAACATATCAGTACTAAAAGAATATAATTATGGCAACAACTTTAATTTTGTACTAGAGTAAAAACAAAAATCATTTCCATCTTTGTTATCAGTGCCAAGAGTAGTTAGTTTGCTCCATGAAGTCGACTCCATTTTCCATTCTTCACACTTGAATAACTAGAACATAAATTACTACTATTTCCTTTGCTGTTTATCATGATTGTTTTCTTTGTTGGAAGAACATTTGTTATTTGAAGCTTTTGAGTTCTTCCATTAGTATTTTGCATCATTTTGCTTCGTCAGGAAGAAAAATATTCTTGAATTTATAACAAGAGATTAATCGGAGAATTTCTCACTTAAAACTTTCTCTGGCCCTAGAGCATCGCCATCAGCAATAGCAAGAATAAGATTAGCATATCCAAGCCTGAGATTTTCGGGAAGATCCTTAACTTGTCCATAGTCCAGCAATGCAACCTTAATAAGAAAAGAATGTCATGATCCTTGTCAGAACTCTGAACAAGAACAATTATATATGATAACTGAGAACCTGATTGAAAGAAGAAAACGAAAAGATGCGTACTTGCCTCAGAACCTTTGCAGATTAGAATATTCCCTGGATGAGGATCTGCATGAAAGAAACCACTCCTGAGTATCATTTGTCCATAAGCTAGGGACAAACTTTTAAGAATGTTCCTGCATGTAGAAGTAACAAATAAGAGAATAGTACCCCAGTTTACGATATTCTCATGCTGAAACAGAATGAGGTTGAAATGATACTACAAACAATTGGAAACTACTAACTTTATAAATAGTAAATAACAGTACGGGGATAGAGAATATGTGTAGAAATAACTTAATTGAAAGAGTCATATTAAGAGAAAAAGGACTTCTCAATTCCTAAATTCTTTGAAAAGGAATAACAGAGTTCTGCATTATGAAGTATTACTGAACAATAAGGGAGCTCCTTTCCTGAGAAATTGCAACAGTTAATGTTAGCGGAAACGTGAAAATAAAGAACACGGAAGAGCAACAATATTATCCTACGTCCACCAGAGAACAACTACATCAATATATATTTCACTCCAAAAGAATACAAGTGAAATACTATAAGAGAGAAAGAATACTAAATGCCTTAGAAGATGAGAAGGCAAGACAGAGGTGTCTTACAAATGAATTACGAGCTACCTATTTATAGGAATGAATTCTTCCTATTGATGTCATCCATGACATCACTATGTGTCAAAATGTCAAGGTTTAATATGTGAAACCATTTTATGGTTTACCTAAATTTCACCTACAAAGTTACTATCTTGAGTCTTGACCTTTTATTTTGTACCAATAAAGAATTATCTTCCTACCAAATCTTCACATTAATTCATCTTGAATCTTGTAAATTCCTAGCCAAGTAAATTGGCACATGGAATTTTCATATCCATTGGGTTTGACCCCACAAGGACCAAACCAACTCTTTCAATCTCCAGTTTGGTTTGCGTTCCAAGCATGCGTATGAACAATTCCGGTCAAAACTTCTAAGTTTACTGGGACATACCGTTGTAAGAAACAAGAAGAATCAAACCTTTGTATAGACACTAGCTCAATCTAGTAGTTGTTCTCCCAGGGTTGCATCAGTTGATGCATATTCCCGCCAAGTCCTTACAGTGTGCAAACTTGGAAAGCGGGACTATCTTGGTTAACATGTCTGAAGCGTTATAGTCTGTGATAACCTTCTCAACCTTGATAGTTCCTTGTTCAACGACATCACGAATGAAATGGAATCTGACATCAATTTGTTTGGTGCGCTCATGAAATCTTTGATTTTTAATCAAATGAATAACACTTTGACTATCACATCTTATAGTTGATTCCAGCTAAACCAAACTCAATTCTGCCATAAAACCTTTCAACCAGATAGCTTCTTTCACTGCCTCTGTTGCTGCCATATATTCTGCCTCTGTTGTAGACAAACTGACAATCGACTGTAAAGCCGATTTCCAACTAACGACACTACCAACGAAAGTAAAGATGTATCCAGTTGTGGACCTCCTTCTATCAAGATCCCCTGCATTGTCAGAATCTACATAACCGAGAACTGAAATACCTTCACTTTTCCGAAAGGTTAGGACGACATCAGAGGCTCCTTTGAGATATCTCAATATCCACTTGACAGCTTCCCAATGCTTTTTGCCTGGATTTGTCATGCACCTGCTTACCAAACTTACTGATTGAGCAATATCTGGATGTGTGCACACCATAGCATACATAATGCTGCCAACTGTGCTAGCATAAGGAACCTTTGACATATGCTCCATCTCATCCATAGACCGAGGCATTTGTAACTCTGAAAGCTTGAAATGAGAAGCAAATGTTGTACTTACAGGCTTACTCATATGCATATTGAATCTCTCAAGAACCTTTTTGAAAGAGTTGGTTGGTCCTTGTGGGGTCAAACCCAATGGAAGAAAATTCCATGTGTCAATTTAATTGGCTAGAAATTGATAAGATTCAAGATGAATTAATGTGAAGATTTGGTAGGAAGATAATACTTTATTAGTACAAAATAAAAGGTCAAGATAGTAACTTTGTAGGTGAAATTTAGGTAAACCATAAAATGGTTTCACATATTAAACCTTGACATTTTGACACATAGTGATGTCATGGATGACATCAATAAAAAGAATTCATTCCTATAAATAGGTAGCTCTTAATTCATTTGTAAGACAACTCTGACTTGCCTTCTTATCTTCTAAGGCATTTGATCTTCTTTCTCTCTTGTGATATTTCACTTGTATTCTTTTGGAGTGAAATAAATATTAGTCCAGTTGCTCTCTGGTGGACATAGGATCATTCTATTCCAAACCACATTAAATATATTCTTCCTTGTTCTTTATTTTCACGTTTCCGTTAACAAATGGTATATGAACTTCCACACATCAGAAAAGAATTACTTTGATTTTATGTATTTCCAAATACTTTGTAGTAGAAGAAGAACAAGTAACGATGAATTGTATGAAATTTGACATAGGGCAATCTCGTTCAAAGTGCCCCTTTTTGTGACAACCCCAACACTCGGCATTTTTCTTGTTCATACGAGACTTTGAACTATACTTTGATTTGCTCCTTCCCTGATGGCTAGGACGGCCTCTCACAAAGAGCCCACTAGCTTCGTCACCTTTGTCTCTTTCAAATGCCTCCGCACATCACAAGAGTTTAGTACTTGCCGCACTTGCTCAAAAGTGATAGGTTCCTTGCTTTGAAGTCAATGAAAATAGCAAAGCACATGTAAGCATCTCCTCATCCTTTTTAATTCTAGTAGTCTGTAAGTCCATCACAAATTTATTGAACGCATCTAGATGGTCCTGCAACAAAATACTTGACTCCATCTTAAATGTGTGATGATGTTGTTGTAACAACATCCTTGTTGTCACCGACCGGTCCGGGTAAAGCCCTTCAAGCCTTTCCCATAATTGTTTGCCCGTCTCCTCGGTACTTGCAGTGTTATCAAAGGTGAAAAGCACAAAAAAGCTCTAAGGTCAGTGGGGGGCTTTAAGCGCAAAGCGCAAATAAAGTGTGGGCTTTAATGAAAAAAGGCGCAAAGGGAGAAAAAAAAACAAATATATATGATTAGTCCAAGACTAATAATTATAAACATGAATGACAAATATATGACCAATGAAATTGTATTTTTTAATTATAAAGTGAAATATCAATTGTTTAGTGTGAATTCTTCATAAGAGGCTCATTGGCAAGGAAAAGTTTGTCTTAGAGCCTTGATGACTACACTGAAGTGCACATAAAGCGAGGCGAAGCGCTCAACACATTTTGAGCCTCACTTCAGGGCTTAAGCGTGCCTTTGATAACACTGGGTACTTGTACTCACTTCACAAAGCACGTTAGGTGCAAGGGACAGTTGGATTACACTCAATGCATCTCCTTCAATCTTCTTCTTGTCGGAATCCGATGTGTTATCGGGGTACTTTCCGTCAATAGCATGGATTGAACCTTTCCTCTACAGTAACACCATCATCTGGATCTTCCAGATATTGAAGTTGTTGCGCCCACTAAATCTATCAATTTCAAACTTCAAGGAACTCATCGTTACTTGTTCTTCCTCTTCTACTACGAAGTATTTGGAAATACAGAAAACCAAAGTAATTCTTTTTCAATGTGGAAGTTCAGACTGTGCTGCAACCACAGAGCATACTCAGATAGAACCTTGGCTATGATACCAATTGTTAGCGGAAACGTGAAAATAAAGAACAAGGAAGAAAAACAATATTTAACGTGGTTCGGATCAGAATGATCCTACGTCCACCAGAGAACAACGACACCAATATTTATTTCACTCCAAAAGAATACAAGTGAAATACTAAAAGAGAGAAAGAAAATCAAATGCCTTAGAAGATGAGAAGACAAGTTAGAGGTGTCTTATAAATGAATTAAGAGTTACCTATTTATAGGAATGAATTCTTCCTATTGATGTCATCCATGACATCACTATGTGTCAAAATGTCAAGGTTTAATATGTGAAACCATTTTATGGTTTACCTAAATTTCACCTACAAAGTTACTATCTTGAGTCTTGACCTTTCATTTTGTACCAAAAAAGATATATCTTCCTACCAAATCTTCACATTAATTCATTTTGAATCTTGTCAATTCCTAGCCAAGTAAATTGGCACATGGAATTTTCATCCATTGGGTTTGACCCCACAAGGACCAAACTAACTCTTTCGGTTAACATGGCCAAAAGCTGAGAACTTCGAAAGGTCAAGCAAGTTTGTGTGCTGGAACATTTTAATACAACCAACATCTCAAGCAATGTAGCATTTGATAATATACTTTATGATCTTCTAAAGGTATGTGGTGAGCCATCGTCAAAACTTCTTCTGGTGTAGAAGGGAGATGTCAAAGAATCTCATCTCAAACAAGTCAGTAGAGGTGTAAAATGGAATCTTTCATGAGATAAGTGACAACTGTGACGTAATCACCAAGAACAAGGCCTGCGATTATCATAATTTATCCTAACTTAAGAATAATTTGGAAACCAGTTTTTTTGGGTTAATTTTATGATAGTATTTGAGAGAGCACTCCAACGTAAGAGCGCGTGGAAAATGAGCTAAAAAATCTTGGAGATGCCTTATAGACATTTTAATGTGCTTGTGACCAAGTTGGAAGATGATCTGGAGCCAAAGTTAGAGCCTAGGTATGGAGCTTGGCGCAAATCTGCACTACCGCGACGCAGAAAAAATAATGCTGAACTTGGTGCCACTCTGCCACAAAATGAAGAAAGTGTGCTGCCAACCTAGCACAAATCTGTGTCAATCCTAGGCAGAATGTCCCACCTAGATTTTTTCGGGACAATCTTGATACTTTTATAATGATCCCAAATATACAGATTCGTAGCCACCCTAAAGGGATTCTTCAGTGTGCTTTGATGATCATTTTCAGATTACTGAGAGAGGAATATCTTCTCCTTTGTTTTTTGAACAACTCCTGATTTTCACAAGGTAATTCATTTCTATACATGAGATTGTGGGGTTTTAACTAAAATTTAGGCCAGATTTCCTGAATTAATCTGGTGTTTGAAGTGTTTAACAAGGTTTTCGGGTTCTATATGGAATATTGTGTTAGTTTCACTCAACGCATATCTTTATTTTCTTAAATTGCATTCATAAGTTAAATATTGCATCAGCTATAGCCAATGTTATCAGTTTAATTTAGCAGAGATAACAAATATGCCAGAGACAGTAACCTAAACTAATTTAGAAGCCAAATTCACTCTGAGAAATATAGGTTCTTACTGCCTTGCTACTGCTGCAATTTTACCATCTGGACTGATTCCTCTCTTTGCCATTTCATCTCCCAGCTTCAGAATTGGGGTTCCATCAATATATTCCATCACTAGGACCCTCCTTTTAAAAATATTAAGGAAAGAACGGATTATTAAGGTAATCTAAAAAGAAAGTTACGCTCAAGCTGTAAAGTTCATATATCCAACAGAGAGTAGAAACAAACTAATCGAAAAGTTAATGAACCTAGCGAACATCTATATGTTGTTGGAATGATGAAAGCAAACAAGATGTGAGACAGCACACTCATCGGAAGTTTTACAGTGGCTTGAGCTAACATATGAACCTTGTGAGTTGCGACAATAAGAACAAAAGGACATGCAAGATTATTGAACAAATAACAGAGAAGCATCTTACAAAGAAAAACAGTTACAGTAATGCATAATCAGTTTCAAACAATCTCTTGATCCACCTCATTACAGCAAGACATCTCAAATGTCCGTTGAAGATCAAATCTACCAATATTTAGATATGAAAACATCAACTAGTCAAATATTCCACAGAGAGCTCACCTTGTAACAATATCTCGAATCACCTGTGGAACCATAACTGGGGACTTTTTGTTATTTTCGTAGAGAAAACGCCGAATTCTATTCATTGCATCAGCCTCTCTCAAAAAGTTGAATTCATATCCGATCTAATATGTAATAAGTGAAACCAGTTTGTTAAAGCAAGAGGATAAGCAAAATCAATGTTGTACTTAATCTAAGCTGAAATAGGAGATGACAAGGCAAATACCAAGTTGCATTTCACGCCATGAGCAAACAACTGAGACGAGTTGTCTTTAAGGACATTTGTGACAAACAACAGATATCATCAAAGTAATTCGTGATCATACCATCAATACAGATCATAATGCACCATCTAGCTAATTGAAACTACCTATAAAGCAGACTTACATTGCATGAAGCATTTGGTATTACTGTACCAAAGTATTTCCTCAATATTTATATGAACAGAAATCTACAATGGCTACGAAGAGCCATCTTTCATACAAAAGTTATCTTAGAAGAGAAAAAAATGATGTTTATATCCAGTGAATGAAGTAGGAAATTTTCAGGTGTCAGAAAATATTCCGCAATGCAACATAGCCACATTTCCTTCCACCTAATTTGGCTGGCCTCTGGAGGCAAAATGCAAAACTGCTACTGTGTGGCAAGCAATAAGTTATAAATTTGGGAAAAGAATGCTTCCATGGAAGAAACACTATCTTTTACCTTGATAGATAGTGTATAGGAAGACCTACCCATGTCCTTTCTCCCCATCCTACACAAGGTGGAGAAACAACTATTGATGATTACGTTTTAACTTCTTATGGGGTGGATGTGGACGGCATAAGAAATTTCATCTCATAGAGGGGAGAAAATAATTATGACAAAAGTAGAGCAACATAATGGGTGGGAAATATGGAAATTCACAATACATGTATTATTTGAATGGCAATGAATGACACAGTCGAAGCTAGGATTTCAACTATATGAGTTCTGAATTCCACAATGACGATTTGAAGTGATAATAACTTGGTTCTAAATTTAATATTTGTAACTATTTAATTTTTTTTTTTGAAATAGGTAACTTTATATTCACACAAAAGAATTCATCAAGAAATTGATGAGGAGGGATTTACAAACCCCCAGGGGGTGCCATCATTCTCAAATCCAAAAACAAATTTTCAAAAATTTACAATTGGCCTATAAACTCCACTACACTATCTACTTCCCCCACTAAATCTTGCTTACACCAAAAAAACAAAAGACTAAGGCATTTCATCTTGATCATCTGGGAGCTGCTTGACCTCCCCTCGAAGCACCTTCCATTTCTTTCTTTCCATAGTGTCCACCAAATGCAAGCAGGTACATTTTTCCACCAATCTTCCTTTGATCCTCTCTTCCCAATTCCTTGCCAGTGTGTTAGTACCTCAAAAGTGGTTCTGGGCATTGTCCAATTAACCCCGAGTATACAAATGAACATGTTCCACAGATCTGTAGCCATCCTGCAATGCAAAAATAAATGGCCATTTACTTCAGCCTCTTGTTCACACATATAGCACCTTGAGCAGATCTGTATACCTCTTCTTTGTAGCACTTCGTGGGTTAGACAAGCTCTTCTAATTACCAACCAAGTGAAGCAAGCAACTTTTAGAGGGATCTTAATCTTCCATATTAATTTCCAGGGCCAAAATGTTGTCAAAGAGTGGTTGGTGTTTCTTTCCCAGTAACAAGACTTTACTGTAAAAACTCCCCTACTATGCAATTTCCAAACTGGTTTGTCGGACTCTGCATTGATGCCAAGGAACAGGTTCAAAGCCTGAAGTAAGTCTGCTACTCTTTCAACCTCCCAATCATTTAGAGCCCTTCTAAACATAAGGTTCCAGCCTTGAGGACTCCACATCTGCGCTATAGTGTCATTCTGTTGTAGGCTAATAATGTACAAGTCAGGAAAGAGTATCCTCATTTTCACATCGCCTAACCAGATCTCATTCCAGAAACTGATCTTCAGGCCATTCCCTACTCTGAAAGTCACCTGCGCATTGAAGTCAGTCCACATTCTCCTAATAGTTTTCCATACTGAGCACCCAAAAGTGCCATTCACCTCTTCAGTTATCCAATTACTCTGTAGGCCATATTTCTCAGCTATGAACCTCCTCCATAATGCTGTATCCTCGCAACAGAATCTCCACAACCATTTTTGCAGCAAACTAGTGTTCTGAATACTTAAGTTCTTAATGCCCAGACCTCCTTGTGCTTTGCTCATTATCACCTCTTCCCATTTAACCAGGTTGTATCCTTGTTTCTCTTTGTTCCCTTGCCAAAGGAACACCCTTCTCAACTTGTTGAGTTTCTTTCCAATACTTTTTGGTAGTGGAAAAAGACTTAGCATATATGTTGGGAGGGCATCCAGAACTGATTTTATGAGAGTCACTCTACCTCCCAGAGATAAATATTGACTCTTCCACCTTGTCAGCTTCCTTTCACTTCTCTCCAAGACTTCACTCCATACTTCCAATTCTTTGTTCTTGGCTCCCAAGGGCATCCCCAAGTATTTGATTACATTGTGATTGATAATTTGATAGCTTGGTTATTTGGAGGCCTTTTGGAAATGGATAGCTTGTGTGTGGTGGATTTGGAGCACTCGTGATTGGCTTTGAGGTAGGCTTCCGTATACATTCTTGATATAACATGTTAGATAATGCCTAGCATATATTTCATGTAATTTTGGATTGTATTTTCTGGATATTTAGCTTGCTTCTTGTTATTCCCTCTTCTCTTGATTCAGAGCGTTGGGCTTAGTCTGGGTCTTGGGATTGTTGGTTTCCCTTTTTGCCACCCTTGTGGTGTGTTTTAGTTGTGATGCCAATACTTGTTTGATAGGTGGCTAGACAAGCTTCGCCCGATTTGAGTTTTGTGTGTTGTAGGGACTAGTTGGCTTAGTTGTGTGTCGTTCCTTTTGTGTAGTAGTTGGGAGATTTCTAGTTTTCGGAGTTATGTGTTGGGTAGTTGGCCTCCTTTAGTCTGGTAGTTTTTTTTTTGGTTGCTTTCTCCCTTTTCCTTAGTCTTTTCTCGATTGTGGAGTTTTGTTTTTGCTTGCTCGGCTCCTTTTGGGTTTGTCTGCTTCTTATGGTCTTGGGGTTTGGTTATGGCTAGATAGAAGTTGGAGGTGTGATCCCTTGTTGCGCCTGGATTAGCTGTAATGTTGGTTCTTTAATGTTGTGTTGATATCTCTCGCGGCTAGTGTATGATTTAGAGTCTGAATGGTGGTATTCAAAAGTGGTTTCTGTTCTTAGCTTTGTTGGGAAATAGAAATTTGCTAAGAAGATTCATCTTCAAAATGGAGTTAAGGAAATTCATGAAATCCATGAGTTGGTTATAGTTCAAGATGTGTGGTTTTCTTTATCATGCTTGGTCGCTTGCGTAGTTCATTATTATGATTTGGTACCCTTGGTCCACTATCAACCAGTTGCCTGTGTTAATACGCCGCATGTCGACTTGGTTTCCCTCAGACTGGGTGGTTGGTTTAGATTCGCGGTAGCAGAGTAGCTTGTGGACTCGTAGTGTCAATTTCTCAATAGTTCGTTGTACTTCCTTGGAGTTGGGCTCTGTGCAAACTTGTCGTTCACATGATGGGTGTCCTTTGGATTAGCATGGTTAGCTTCAATAGGTTGTGTTTCAGCTGGATTTGTTGGTCTTCGAGATCAAAAGGTAAACTTTGGGCCTTGCCTTGGACTGAGTTTCTTGTTTTGATGGTTATTATTCCTTGATGTTCTTGTGGAGCTTGTTGTCAGGAGGTTAAGTTATGTCAGTTTGAAGAGGAGATTGAGGTGGTGCAGGTGATGTTCAGGATGACTAAGGACCGAAAAATGCTCTTGATCATTATAAGGTGTTAGATGTGGAGCATAAGGTTAGCTTTTTGATTTGGGAGTTGGGTTGCTTCTATCATGGTCCTGCGGTTGCTCTATTCTATGGTTTTGGTGTAATTCTGGTCTACTCACCCAAAATTGTTTTGAAGGAGTTTTTGGAGTTTTGAAGTGAATTTGAGAATTTTCCTCTTAACCTAAGTTTTGTAATGGCGTTGTTTGATTCGAGAGGGCGTTTGAGGGTTTGGCGGAGCATGTGGACTCAATATCCTCGTCTTTTTGTCTTGAGGCTATGTCTATCCTTCTCAATCTATGTTGCACAAAACTATGAAATTGACCAAACCAAGAAATAGAATCTGGAGCAAGATGAATATGCTAAGCCGGAAAAATAAATCTGAGAATATTAGCTAAGAGAATTGTATTCAGAAAGAGAGAGAAGAGTTATTTCATTAAGCACGAATTTTGGATTCTCATACAACTTGTATATATGTAATGACTAAAATGAATCAACTGACTATTGTTGCAACTAACTTCACTATAACAACTAAATCCAAACAAACGAACATATTCTTAACCACTTTTGCCACCTCAACTAATCAATTATTTAGCTAATTTAATTTCCATTTACTTGCAACAATCCCCCTGACGTAGAGCATCCTTGACCTCTAGGGTTAAAAGAAAGAATCTTGTGTTACAACTCAGTGAGGAACTCTCACGTAGCTTGATCTTCAAGGATACCTGTCCATTTGATTAAGACCTATCTAACAACTTTGTTGCCCCTCTTCACTAATCTTTTTTCCAACACAGTCTCAAGTGAATGAAAATAAGGAATGGATAAGTTAAACACTAGAGGATGGGTAATAACCAATGGTAACTCATGACACCTCTTAAGTTGAGACACATGGAATGTATAGCCTATAGACCAAAGTACCAATCTCAGCATTAATAGGGTAAGGCCCAAAATACTTGGTTTCAAGTTTATTAAAGGGCCTAATAGATACGAAAACTTGTTCGTAAGGTTATAATTCCAGATATACCCATTCTCTAACAGTGAAAGCCTTGTATGATCTATGTTTATTTGCTAGATCCCTCATTCGTTGTTATGCCCTCTCTTTATGAAACGTGATCAACTGTCTGATAGCCTCTCTAGCAACCAAGGACCTATCCACCATGTCAACAAAGAACTCACCAACCAAATACGAAAGGTGTAAGAGTGAATTTTGACCATAGAGCATCTCGTAAAAAGTACCCTTAATGGTAGTGTGATAAGCAGTCTTATAATACGCAGACCCCTCCTTAGGACAATCAAATCAAAAACACCGAAAGTAAGTCCCCAATGTTCTATTAAACACCTCTGTTTGACCATCAATTTGGGGATGGTAAACAGTATATTTTTTTAGTTAGACCCCTTGTAGAATAAATAATTTCTACCAAAATAAACTAATGAAAACAGGATCTCTATCACTTGTCATAGTTACTTCCATGCAACAACACATTATCAAGGAAGCTTTGAGCAATAGCCTGAGCAAGGTAAGGATATTGTAGGCTTATGAAGTGACAAAACCTGCTAAGTACATCTACTACTACCAAAACAACTTCCTTTCCATTTGACTTTGTAAGTCCTTCAATAATAAATCAAGGCATATATTTGTCCAAACACCCTCAGGGGCATGTAATGATTATAATAAATCAGGTGAAGTATCAACATCATGCTTATGCTTATGACAGATATCACATCTGCTAATGAAGTCCCTAATGTCTTGAATAAGGCCCTTCCAATGAAATAGTGATGTATTCTCCTAATAGTGGCATTCATTCCTGAGTGCCCTTCTTGAGGTAAATGTGTCATAACTCTAAAATAGTTCTTCTGAAGGCAAGATCATTTCCCACCACAAGTTTGATTTCCCATCTCAATTGCTCACTATACCAAGTATAAGACTTGAAAGGTTTCACCTGCAACTTGGCAATCATCTTGGAAATTATCTCCTTTAAATCAGGATCAGACACCCATGTTTTCTTAACCTACATGAATAAAGCATTATTGGGAATAAGTAAGGAAGCCAATACCTCAACATTGGGTTTCCTAGATAAGGCATCAACAACCTTGTTTTCAGTAACCTTCTTTTTTTTTATGACAAGGGAAACCCGCAGCCGCTACTCTTTTGGGTGCGCACAGGGTAAAACCTCCGCTCCTATGCAATAGCTCGCAAACCACATAGGAGAGGTAACCCGCACTAGGCAAGCCCGGTGCGACGAGCTCGACCCAGAAGGCAAACCCCTTGCTTTCGCTGGCAAGGGGTTTTGAACTTGAGACCTCCAACATGGAAGTCCCAAGCCCAAACCACTGGGCCACCCCGAAGAATTTATTAACACAAATACACTATTTGAGACAATCTACTGGGTTCGGCCAAACCTGCATGCGGGCTACTAGTTCCGTGCATGAGAAAAGTAGGTATGCTCTAGATTAATATGTTTCTAGGGAAAACATCATTAATGCTAAATATGGAGTCACGAACATCTGGTTGTCAAAGAAGTTCACAGAAAACACATGGCTGTAAATTAGAAATTCTTACTCATTAAGGCAGGTTTTAACTTTTAAGGCTATCACTAGAAACGATAAAGAAAATAACAAGCTCTTATTGGAAAAGGTAATGAAGATCACATCAGGAAAGAATTATGGAAAATAGAAGTCCCTCCTAGTCACTTGATACAATTTATTAATTCCCAAGATAGAAACTAGGAACAACTGAATATTGATGTAAATATTTGTAACATGCACCTCCTTGGTGCTGTTATTTAATGAAATTACGTTTTACCTTCTTCTGGCTAAAGAGAAACAATAGATGATGCACCTGTTTCTCAAATAATGCATATACAGAAATTTTATGCACCTGTTTCTCAATTTCCTTTGTCAAAGAGTATATATCGAATTTGATATCTATCTTCTGCAAGTATAGTGCAAAAGCTTGCAAGTTGTGGATATCGGTCATCATCAGCTCTTGGACCCCAGGGTGTTGCACCTTGAGCAGACAACAATTTTAGAACCTTATGATCACAAAAAACTGCCAAGTTATGAGTCAATTTCTCTTACCTTGACAACAACATCTTTTTTGTCACCTTTGAGTCTCGCTCTATGAACCTAATTCCAAGTAGAGAAAACACAAGTTGAACCACTTAGGATCAAAGTAATATTAATTCCTCTGTATAACTAGAATACAGCTCAAAGATATGACATTTAGAAATAATCATTTATCTGACTTTAAACTGCCTTACAGGTCCAAATCATTTGGCCTTCAAAGCCATGTATCACACTGGTTTTAAGGTTAAAGCTGTTGACAAGTAAGGAGAACAATAGAAAATGAATATTTATTCATTTATGAACAGATACACACACAGCTTGAGTAGTGCTAGACGATGTCCTAAGAAACTATTTCAGCTGAAAGTTTCCTCAGGATTAAACAAACCTCCATCTTGTTAGAAGGAGCAAGAACAACAAAACTTGATTAAAGAAATTAGCAAGTTAGGAAAAGAAAGAAAGTATCAGTGTATAGTCTACCGGTTGAACTTATTGAAAAGAAGTACTAGCATATATTTTGTGGCATGTTATATATATAGAGATTTAAAAATGGCTCATTATTCATTTTTTTTATTGGTATATTTCTCATCTTCATCATCATGAGTCATGATCATGGTTGTACTTGTCATCACTTGCATGTTAGCTATGAACAAATTTTGCAGTTAACAAAAAGGATTCATGCAAGGAGCCCATTTCCATACAATGCCACATGTAAAATATACAAAAAAATCTTTTGAAATATATATCCTTCATTGCCAACAAAAGCTACTGTTGTTGTTGAGATAGGGCTAAGGCCCTACATAAGCCATAAAAATTAAGAATGTACTAGAGATTGTTAGACATTATAATATATCAGCCACAGCTAAGATTGAAAAACTTGTTCGGTATATCTTAGGCAGTTTCCCTTGCCTAACATGTAAGTGGCAATGTTTTTGCCATTATTGCTGGAAATAGGGTGCTGTTGTGTCTATTACGTGCCTATTATGTTCCACAACCTATTAGTGGAAATTAATTTCCAGGTAAAAGCCCATGAAAAAAGAGTTGGTCCGAATTCGAGTGAAAATTTTGTAGACCTAAAATAAATAAATAAATGTGTCACCCCTGTAATAACTTAGACTTTTAGATATGATAGTCACACACTTCAACAAATCTAAATGTATTTACTATCTGCAAGGTCGATATTTTTAACAACTGTTTGAACAACATGAAGTTTCTAGTCAACATTTGAAGAAATTTTTGTCGCTCTACAATGAGCTTTAGTAATGCTTTAGATCAACCTTAACAGTTACCTGTGCAATAGAAGCAGAACCGAGAGGATCGACATCGAAACTTTCAAACAATTCATCAAGATTCTGATCCAATTCCTTCTCCAGCACAGCCCTGATCACATTGTACGGTGTAGCAGGCGCTTGATCACATAGAGTAACTAACCTTCTCACCCATGCAGCAGGGGCCAAGTCTGGCTTCCCAATTAGTTGAGCAACCTAATATTAATATTAATATTACCATCACCATCACCATCCACATAATTAGATCTCACTCTCAAACCATATCTTAAGATGAATTATGAGTTGTGAAGCCAGAACTTAAACCCTCTTGATCATTCTTTTTTCTAATAACAGAGAACTTCCCATGAGCTAATGGTCCATGGTTCGAAACTCAGTGGATTATGAGTCCGCCCCTCTACCCCCTTCCATTTACATAACAGGAATTTGCTTGAGGCAGGGTTGGAACCCGTGACGTGAGCCTAAACCACACATCATGGGTGCGCCACACCTCTTACCACTAGACCAAATCCCTGAGGTTAAACTATGGAAGCAATACAACAATCTCATGAGCATTATGATAAATAGAGCACAGTAGTACAGGCTGCAGCCAACACAGACTAGTGCACATATTCCAATATAACCGCATAAACTTAATCAAATTTATTATAAAAGATAACACTAAATGCAGGAATCTTTTCCTTGTAGAGTTAATAAACAACGAAGGACCATTAACACTTAACAGCTTGTTTGGGTTGTTGCTACCATGAATTCTTTCTCTTTCTTTTACGCCTTTTGATTACTTCCTTTGAGTTGAGGCTCTATCGGAAACAAACCTAAAAGGAAGGGATAAGGTCTTTCTACATCCTACCCTCTCCACACTCCACACTCCACTTGTTGTAATAAACAACGATAGTTGTTTGAGATTGAATCAATTCTATATTAGGAAACGAAAAATGGGAAGCTGGTTATGGATTATACCTTTAGGAAGAACCCACCAAGGTCAGAGCACATATTATATATCTTCTCAGCTGCAACCTCATGCTGCCTCTCCCACATTGCTTCTTGTTTTTGCACATTCTTTTCAAAGCCAACTCTTAATTGAAACACCTAACAAAGTGCAATTAAAATCTAAAATTTACTTCAATGAGCCAAATGAACCAACAAACGCCTCGTTCATATCACAAAGAGAAATTAACAAAAAAAAATAAAGATTTTAACAAAACAACAGAATAGTGCATTCCCAAATTCACTCTTCTACATTAATCATAGATGTAACAATTGTGAAATTAGACCATCTAATTTGTAGAATTTAATATCATTTTGTATATCTATCCTAAAATTCTTCAAATTATAAAAAAAATTAGGCATAATACGTAAACAGGCACTTAAACTTGGCCTTAGTTGACAAATAAACATATCTAGACACCTCAACTTTGGTTTCAACGGTCAACTCAACACTCCAACTCGTCTCTCCCAGTCTCCTGTGTCTCATCGACATCCGACACCGACATGCCACAAAATTTTATAAGTGTCTAGACGATAATTTTGTAATTTTGATTGCTCAACTGATACAATGGACACAAGTTGAGGTATGTAGATGTACATACTAAAAAAGTTAAATTATTTTAATTTTAATTTTTTTTTTTAAAAAAGTGGGGTATGGGAAATGGAAATGAGAAAATAGAACTCAATTCAGTGCCACTGTTTACTAAAATTTGGGGAAAATGGGATTGATAGATATCACATTAAAAATGAATCAGTTCCACTAACAAAATCAAAACTTGAGAAAAAAAAATGAAGAGGGTACCTTATAACCAGTATATATATCTACTGCACGAACCCAAAACTGGAAAGAACGTTGCCAAGGTCTGAAACAAGCAGATACCTTTTCTTGAAAATCAGATTGAACACTCATTGTTTCTCTGTAAATTCTATTGTAGCCTCTATAAGGTTAAAGAAACCATTTTTATGCCTAATACTTTCTTTAGAGAGCCTCCATAGCTCAATTTTGCAAGAAATTTGAAAGGGCATTAATAACCATTCACCCATTATATTCTTTTTTCTTGTGGCTGGAAAAAATTACTGGGATATCTGTTCTTAAAATTTGTTAAATGGGGTTGCTGAAATACTTGCAACTTGTAAGGAGTAATGATTTTCTTGGATTTTGGTTTGGAGATTGAAAGAGATGGGTGTGTTATATAGTTGTGTGGGTGTTTTTGTGAAGTATATATTTCAGCCGGGTAAAGCGCGGTAATTCATAATCTCATTAAGATTATGAATGATAATTTTTTTAATATTTGCATATTAGAAATTTGATAATGTCACATATATTAAAAACTTGAAAGATTGTAAAATTGTTTTTTTTTAATGAATTTTATCTTTAACATATTTTCAATTATAATACTTATTATTTGATATTCTTAATATTGAATGATTTTTCATACATTAGTCGATTATCACTTTCTATTGTTTGGTACATGTGCATGCAAAGTATAAGATATTCAATTTAAGGACGTATTATTCATTCTTTAGCCAATAGGAGCTAGTTTTCCTTGCGTCATTATCCATAAACACCCCTAAATATGCCTTTTTAACAAATTTATCATACGAAATATATCAGATCCTCGTATTCTCAAATGTGTGTTCCTTGATTATTCTAGAGCTAGTAATCATAAAATAGAGGAGTTCTACCCTTTGTTGGCTATAAATAGAAAATTTGCAGTTTAAAAATGTGAGAGAACTCCTCTATTTATAGCCAACAAAGGGTAGTATAAACAAGTGCTTATTCCTTGATTTTTTGATAAGGCACAATAAGCACTTGTTTATACTACCCTTTGTTGGCTATAAATAGAGGAGTTCTCTCACATTTTTAAACCGCAAATTTTCTAAAGGTTTTTTGTTCTTCTTCTTAATACCCAATTTAGTACATATTCTATATTTCATACTATATTTTTTAAAGCAACTTTATGGCCATATTTTTTTGGTGAAGACCCAAAGTAGACTTCTAAGGAACTGGAAAAGTTCCACAAAAATTAGAGATGAAATTTGTTACGAAGAAGAAGATACAACAACGGATATGATTTGCCTAGTTTTTATAGGTAGTTCCTGAAGCGGCACAATCGAAGGGATACAATAGTCTGAAGGGACAGAGGAGTTGAAAAATTGAATTTAAAGGTAAAAAATAGTGTTGTCACAAAGAAGAAAATACAACAAGTGGTATGATTTGCCTAGTTTTATAGGTAGTTCCTGAAGAGACGCAACCGAAGGAATACAACAGTTTGAAGGGACACAAGAGTTAAAGAAGCGGGTTAGAGGTAAAAAAACATAGAAGTACGAAGGAAAATATATATAAAAGTAAATTCCTAAATTCAAAGGGTTCCACGTAGGTATGCCTAGGATTCTCTATTATATATATATAAAATAAGATGTCTCATTTTGTATGATGAAATAAAAGAGAAAGGTAAAAATGAAAAATTTGTTATAAGTACAATCAAATTGTGGATATTCATTTATTGCTCCCCCAAGCAGCTTATAAGTAGCTTTGTAAGCAGGTTGCTATAAATAACATACAAGTAAGGTTGTAAATATATTTTTCTAAGCAACTTTACAAGTAGGTTTTAATAAGCAGCTTCCTACAATCAACTCATAACTATCTTTGTAAGTTGTTTATGTTCTTCTATGAATATGAAGTTCTTTCAGTTCATTTGTACATTAGTTTGAAATTGAATTATATAATAATCTTGTTATGATGAAGAGACGTAAACCCAAAAATAAAGAACACCAAATTTAACATAGAAAATCCCTCCAAATCAAAGGTAACAACCTGTAACACCGCAAAAATTTATAAGTTAAAACTCGAACTATTCTTAATTTACATTTAAGGTTGTATCGGGTTATTCTTAAATTTCCCATATGTGTAAAGCTCAATTCTTTAGTGTAGGAATGAATTTGGATATAAATTAAGGTCACTACAATCCCCTTGCACAAAGTTGAGTTGAAAGCTTCCATACCAATTAAGTTTGATGTAAGATTCTACTTGGGTCAACTTCAAATGACCATATCTCTTAGAATATAAAGAGTTGTGTGGCCCATAACATATCAAATCAAAGGTATTTGAGTCTTCTTTCCAACGCTACCAAAGGTCCATCAATTGGAGCTCGAAGTAAAAAGTTATGCTTATTTTACTAGACATTATCTTGTGGCCGAGACATTTTCCGCGCGCGGCGAGAAAGCAGCTACTGCCTTCTTGCACAGATTGGCTACGCGCCTGAGGCGATTTCCGCGCAGGCTTCTGGGTCTTTTAAAAAGCCTCCCAAATACGTAGTTCACCTCCTTAGTTCATAAATTTACCCTAGAATGAGAAGTTTTCAAGTGTAACATCTCGCAATTTGAAATAGCTAGGAAGAAGCTTAGAAATGGAAGTAGTCATTTTTGGAAATAATGAAAATCTGGAAATTTGTTAAGTTAGGAAAAGTTGAGTTTTTGGTCAACTTCAAACGGCCATAACTTCTAGCTCAGGATGAGTTGGAGGTACTTCCAGATATGGTAGGAAATCTCTTGGAATGATCTTTCCAACGTAGCTGAGTTTGCGCGATTCCGAGTTCGTATAAGTGAGTTATGCCCTTTGGAAGTTAGGATGTTGGAATGAGGAAAGTCCAATCCAGATTTTGGAAGGGTAAATTAGTCTTTTCCTTACCTAATTATTCTAATTCATTTTTAGGAGTTTAATTGGGGGTAAAGTCAGATTTTAGTCAGTTAGAAAAGTGAATTTTACGCTAGGGCTTGGAAAAGAGGAGAAAGAAGAAGAACGTTCAAGATTCGTCGATTTCGTCGAGTTTAGCTTGTGGATTTCGTTTGGGGTGATCCCTACAAGGTATGTGAGATCACATAGCATTGGGCTAGTTCACCCACGAGCCAATCATGATTCAATTTAGCGAAATATGTTTGATTTGAAAGTAAATCCTTTGAGTTTTTGATGAAATTCGTTTGAATTCTTGTGGGTTGTTTTGTTGAAGTTTCTTGGGGTTTGATTCATGTTTCTGGGTGTAATTTCGGTTTGAATCTATCATATATTGAGGGTGTAAATGATCCTAAGTGTTTGGGAAAAGAACCATCGAAGTTTAGAGGGTTTAGAGTTGAAAAACGAAGAAGAAATTTCGTCGAACAAATCTGGGCAGTGCCTCCGCGTCGCGGACCTGCTCTCCAGATTTGCGAAAAATGGTTTCACGTCGTGGAGCGGTCACGGACTGCCGCAAAAGTTGTTTTCGAAACAAAAATATAAATGTTTCTCCGCGTCGCGGACCCACCCTCAAATAGTGATTTTTTTATTTTTTCTCATGTTTAGCTATCTAATTCATTCCTAAACATCATGAGATCTTTCCTATCACAAATCACGATCCTTGAATCCATAAATTCAATTCAATGAAAGTTAAGAGTCAAGTCAAGAGTCAAGTTAAGAGAAGTTCATAAAATTTTCCAACATTCTTTTACAAATGTTTTAACTTTGTTTTAAGACTTAAGTTTTGAGTTTAGTAAAGAGTAAAGTTTGAAGTTTATTTCTTCAAAAGTATATGGGGACTATGTATTCCCAAAGGGTTTAAAATGTTTTCACATTTAAACAAGAAAGGAAACCTCGATTTCCAAAGGGCCTTCGGGCTAGTTTTCAGAAAAGAGTAATCACTTTCTAAATGAAGCAAGAGAGGAAACTTTGATTTCCAAGATAGCCTTTGAGCTAAGTTTTTAAGCACTAATCTCAAATCACAGAAAGAAGTATGTTTTAAAACATGAGAGCTAATATTATATTTTTAGGAGTAGTATTTAGCACCAATATGGGAGAGAGTTAAGACAACTCACAGCCTACATAAACCATGTAGCCATCATGGGTAGAGAAGGGTCATACTTTTTAGATGATTTTGTTAGTGTTTTTTAGCATAGACTAGTGGATCCACTAAGTAGTTCAGGTTCTATACCTCGGCAAGGTATATGACGGTCCTGGCAGCGTGAGGCAAAACGATGTATCATCACAATAGCTCTTACGTGATGGTTGTCGGTTAGAGAAACTCCCACATAAGTAATTGTATTCTTAAATACACAGTTTATTTTGTATTTTTACATACATTTCAGAGTTATATGTATCTTTGCTTACACACAGAGTTGACATCATGTTTTAAACAACTTTTATTTATATTGCACTTATTTTAAACTGCTTTATATTGAAATGAGTTCAGTTATGTTGAGTTGAGTTGAGCCAGGTAAGTTTTTCAGATTTTTTTCAAGCCTATGTTGTGTTTAGCATTCTAACTCACATACTCGTACATTCAATGTATTGATGCTAGTTGGTCTACATCGTATTATGATGCAGACACATGTAACTAGGATCGGCATCCAGCGCATCGTTGATCCAGTGAGCAGTTCAGAGTCTGTTGGTGAGCCTTCTTGCATTTTGGAGGACTCATTTACTTTGATTTCAGTATTTATTTCATTGTTAGGATGATCGGGGGTCTTGTCCCGACATCCCTCTTTATTTAGAGGCTTCATAGACAGTTAGTAGTTCAGTTGTCTTTACATTATCATTTCATATGTTAAGACTTGAGTTGCTATTTGGCCAAGTTGAATGTTTGACTTTTAAAGCATTCTCAGTATTTTATTATTCAAGTGAGTACAGTGCTATTGATCATTATAAATATGTATATAGTCTTCCGCTGAGTAAGTAATTGGGATGATCGCCTACCCTTTATTGAATTTGCTTACAACAATAGCTACCACTCTAGCATCCAAATGGCTCCTTATGAAGCTCTCTATGGGAGAAGATACAGATCTCCTATTGGATGGTTTGAAGTTGGTGAAGCTGGGTTGATAGGACCTGATTTAGTTCATCAAGCTATGGAGAAAGTGAAACTGATTCAAGAGAGGTTGAAAACAGCACTGAGTCGTCAAATATCCTACACCGATGTTAGGAGAAGGGAGTCAGAGTTTGAAGTAGATGATTAGGTATACTTGAAAGTTTCACCCATGAAAGGTTTTATGAGATTTGGCAAGAAGGGAAAGCTTAGTCCTCGGTATATTGGCCCTCACAGAATATCGAAAAGGGTAGGTAATGTAGCTTATGAGTTGGAGCTACTACAAGAGTTAGTCGTGATTCATTCTGTCTTTCACATCTCTATGTTGAAAAAGTGCATGGGAGATCCTTCATTGATCATACCAGCTGAAGA